AGCCCCAACTCTCTCAACCTGTCTTCACAGTAGAGGTGTTCCAGAACTCTGATCTTCTTCCTTGCCTTTCTCTGGACTCTGCAGCAGGTCTGTGTCCATCTCACTTTGGGGACCCCAGAGTAAGACACAGCAGTCCAGGTGATGTCTCATGATAGTGGAGCAAAGGAGTGGAATCCCCTCCCTTGCCCTGCCGCCCGTGCTACTTTCTGTGTAGCCTAGGATGCGTTTGGCCTGCATGTAGCCAGGGCATGTTGAGCTTCTTGCCCACCAACAACCAAGACCTGTGTTTCTTTCCAGGGCACCTCTCAATGCATTCTCTGCCCAACCTGTACCTTTGTTTGGGATTGCCCTGATACAGGTGGAGGATCTTGCACTTGGCCTTGTTGAACTTCATGAGGTTTGAACAGATCCCCCTCTTCAGCCTGATAAAGTCCCTCTGGATGTCATCCCTTTCCTCCAGTGTATCAACCACAGCACACAGATTGGTATCCTTGGCAAACTTGCTGAGATGAATTCAATCCCATGCCACCAACAAAGATGTTAAATGTCACCTGTCCCATTACCGACCCCTGAGGGGTGCCTCATCAGGGTCTCTGGTTGGACATGAAGCCATTGACCACAGCCCTTTGAGTGCTACCATCCAGCAAAGATGGTCCAGCAACAAGGGTTCAGCAACATTAGAGCATATTTTTCTCTGAAAGAACTTATATTGCCACTTGATATTTTTCTGACCTTGTGTCTTCCAGCACCATTGTAACCAGCTTGCACAGCGTAGTTAAATAGAATCTGTAAAGGCTGAACTCAGATCCCACTTTTTCTTAATTTGTGTTTTCTCTAAGTCTGTACATGCAGCTATCAGAGTAGCTGCAAGCTGATTATTCCTTTCTTTTTCTAGTGCAGAAGTCACATGTAGTTGTTATATTTGCTGAAAGCATCCATATGGCCAGCAGATGTACTTAAAAGGTGTTTAATGAGTGGTGTAAATTCACTTCATTCAGTTCTCCTTTAGTGATTTCATCTAGGCTAGGTGTATATTTCCTCTCTATTTGAAACTGGTATGGATTATCTTAAGTACAATCATTCTTACTTGGAGTAAACTTGGTCTGGATGAACAGAAGTACTTAATTCAAGTGTAAGGTTTGCCATTGGACTATCATCTTCAAAACTGTCAGTATAGTTTACAGCTTCTGCTTCAATTTTGGCAAGCCCTATATAATTTGACTGAAGGACTGAAGTTCTGCATGACCATAAATAAAAGGTCATGTAAAGTTCTGGTTCTTCTACTGCTTTTTTGTACCAAATTCCACTGGTATTGTAAAGTTATCTATATATTGAATATATATAGTAAATATCTATGTATTAAATTCTCTCAGAATTTTATTTTTATGATTTAACCTATCAATGGCGATGAAACTATTCCTAACTTCCTCTTAGTAATCTAAAACCTAGTGAACAAAGATCAAAAAGTACATATTGAACACCCATATCCCAAGATTCCACTAACATTTTTAGCTGGAACATCACTTATATTTCGTAAAATCTATATCTGAATAATTTTGTCACTTTTTTTTTTTGCCTTAACATGTGTGCGCACATGTGCATGCATATGTGGCTGTTTTTCTCTCTTTCACTCATTACAACATTAACTTTTTTCTAGTTCTGTGAGTTTTCCTCAGGATTTCAGCAGTTAGGAAGCAAACTTAATTATCAACATTGTCGTCTATCATATCTTTCATTTATTTTTCTAATAACTCTTCAAGCTGCCATTTAAAAATAAATGTTTAATTTTAGTTCATGCAGTTTACTATTCTTTCATATTATTGATTTAATGGAAAGTAGTTAATGTTATGTAATGTGAAAACACTGTTACTATTTATGTTTTCCAAATATGCGGCAGAAACATTTCTGCTGTTCCACATTTTTTTACGCAATTCTATTTTTTCACATCTAGTTGTAAAGCAGTATTAGTGTTTAAAATATCATTGTCTCTGATTAAATTAACATTCTTAATTTCCACAGAATGTATCTATTTGCCTTTTCTTCTAAGTTCTTCAACTATTTAGTTCTTCAGTCATACACTAACTATTGCCAGCTTTTGTGTGTGTGTGTTTTTTTTTTCTCCCCCATTTGTTTCATGTTTTATTGTGCTGCTTTCTCTTCTTTTAGAAGATAGTAAGAAATAAGTTGGGGATGAGATAGGGAGTAAGTTTGAAGTGGTATAGCTGAGACATGTTGTCATAATCATGAGTGTGAAATTCCAAAGTAGGGAGTCTTTTGTTCCAAGGATGTTTTTACAGGTGTGCTGGTTCTGGCCCAGAATTTACTATCTGCATAGCAGTGAAATTGTGCTGTGTTTTGTGTTTGTGACTAAAACAGTGTTGAAAACATGCCAGTGTTTGGGCTATTGCTCAGCAATGCTTGCACAGGATCAGGGCTGTCTCACTTTCCCATTCTGCCCACATTCCAATACCAGCAAGTAGGCATTTTGTAATTCTTACTCTTTTTTTTTCCCTTTACTTATTAAACCATCTTTCTGTTGACCTACTGGTTTTCTTCCTTTTTCTCCTGTTCTCTTCCCTGTCCCACTAGGGAAGGAGGTGGGGGAAGTGAGCTAGCAGCTGTGTGGGTGCTTACCAGCTGGACTTGATCAACACACAACAGCAGGATGGAAGAGAAATACATTGAGAGCACAACCTCTGAGTAGTGGGGTTTTGAGGTTTGAGGGAATGAAGTACTTTTAATGAGAAGCATGCTGGGGAAGAGGCATTTGTGCATTCACAGATGAAAGAAGGACAGGATGAGAAAACGGTGACTGTTTAACCTTGAGGAGGCTCAAGGTAGAGGATCTTATTGATGTGTCTAAAAGCCTGATAGGAGGAGTAAAGATGAAGACAGACTCCTTGTGATGTCCAGTGAGGGACAAGAGGCAATGGGCACAAGCTGAAATATGAGAAGTTTCATATAATTTATTACAAAAAGAGAACATTCCAGTTACAGAGTATTGTGCTAAAGGCTGATTCCTCATATCTGAGTGTGAAATGACACTCAGACAAAAATTGACACATCAATTAGTAGTGTCAACATACAGGTAGTTTAATACTTACAGCTCTGCTGGAAATTTACACTTTACACAAGTGCTATTTTGTAGCAGGAGTGCTGATAGATTAGTTTCATTCACAAGTATCAAAACTAACATTTCAAGATGACTCATTGTCCTGATTCAGCCTGCTTTTTAGGTTCAACCTACCGGTTTTACTTCTGGCTTTTTCATTTGCTGACAGTTTTGTAGGTAATAGTTTGTTTATATTTAGTTGGAGGCAGTCCCTGGCTTTCAGTGAGCAGGCCTGATTAGTCTTGTCTACTGAGATTATTTGTTAATTGTTGCTATTCAGGTGTGTATTTCATCAAGGAAATCTTGATTGCTTGGTTTAAAAGAAGAAATAGGAGCAGTCCATCTTTTATTATATATGAGTGAAACACTACACTTTAAAAAATTTTATCAACTTCCTCTTAAAACAGCAAATGCAACATGAAATCTGGGGGAGATACATGGAGCACTTATGGTTTTAGTTACTTTAATAGAAAAGTAGATGATTTTCATTTTATTAACTTAGTGACTTCAAACACTTGCTCACTGATTTACTATCTGAAAAAAATGTTCATGGATGCTTTGTAGTAGCGTGGGTTTCAATCTGAGCTGAAGAGAATATTTTTTAGTGTGTAGGTGCATGAAGAGTATGATCTCTTTGTAGTGCATGCTGCCTCCCTCTCTGTGGATTCTCATTAGCTGAACATAAGGAGACAGAGTTCTGCAAGCGTGGCAGTACACACAGAACTGTTGCATGAACAGGCAGTGCTTCTCACAGTATTTCTGTACTCACATTGCACATGATGATTTTTCTTTTTAAATTTTCTTTTTACTGCAAAGATAGCTTGGGGTGTGTTAGTGTGAAATACTGAATACTGCATCTTTCTACATAAAACTGAGGGTCTCAGACTATTCCAGTGAGGAAGATAATGTGGTGATTATGTCGTACATCTTCAGTAGCAGTTACTTTTATTTACAAAAATACATAATACTGTATTGCCAGAAGTACAGAAAGGGTTCACAGTCGTCTTCTGCTGCTTGTTCTGGTTGTACTGGTCTTTTGCAACATGACTCTTCTAAAGATCCTTCCTCATTCCTCAGTGGATCTCAGCCACATTGCTGTCTACCTTGGCCTGAAGCAGCCAGATGTCTGACGCCAAATTTCAGATACCCACTCCAATTGAGCTACCTGACTTTCCCCCAAAATATATTGTGTCTAGCAACTTCAAGTTTGTTTTATCTGTCTTCAGCAGTGACCAGAACTAGTGCATACTGCATTAAAACCCAGTCACAATGCAATGCTAAGAGCATCCTGTAAACGTTTTCCTGGGATGTCAGCAATACCAGCACACTGGCACTAGGGACCACATCCCACATTAAAAGGCTTTGGTTGACAATTCGGCTGAAGTGCAACGTCAACAACTCTGGCAGGCTGCACAGGGGCATTTTGCCCGACACAGTGACCGTACAGACTGGGTGTGCACCCTGGAGCCTCAGCAAAGCCCCTTCCCAAGTAAGTAAGTGGGATGTACACCTCCTTCCCCTCCCAAATATGAGGGTTTTCATAGCTCGTCCTGAGTGATCTGGCTGTTATTGCCAGCCCTGTGCTTTTGCTTTGGGATGATAAATATCCAGTTTTGACCGCCTGTTTCCCATGTTTGTAAATTTGCATAATCCTGGAGTCTGACCGACGGGAATTGAGTGCTGCTCGGGTTTCGTTCCGCTCGGCGGCTGGACAAGCCCCCGTGGCTCCCCGGCCACGCTTTCCCGGGGTGAATAAAGACACCCGGGACACACCGCGCACGTTTCGGCTCCTTGCTGGCAGGCTCCGGGGGAGGGGCGGGCACGCCGGGCACGGGCGCCGGGACCCTGCCGCAGCGGCGCCGCCCGCTGCCGCCGCGGCTGNGTGGCCCGGTGCCCGGCGGGGCGGCGGCGGCCGCGGCCGGGGGAGGTGGCCTCGGGCGGCCGGCTCTGCGCCGGCGGCAGGGGAATTGTGCCCATTAACAGGTTGCGACGGGCGGGTGGTCCGCGGCGCTCTTGGCACCCGCGTTTTCGGCGCCGAGGTAGGTAGGAGCAGGATTTTTGTTAAAATTTTGTCACGGCTGCTGTTGCTAATATTGGCTTCCGATGCTATAAAACGCTTCCTAAGAAGCCGCGTCTTCAGCTGAGTGTTTGATAATTCTCGGGTATCCGGCAGCTGTCAAAAATACCAGGACCTGTAGTTGTTTTTCTCCAGCTCCATTCGGGCTTTAAGATGGCTCATACACATAAGGAAATACCAAAACTTTTCTTAATGGTAACAGAATGAAAGGAGAGCAAGAAATAGCTTTGGGCATCCTTGTGGCTCTAAAGGCAGTGTAATCTCCCCAGAGTGATATTTTCTTGGGCAATGACTCTTAGTTTAAATCACTTTTTTTCATAAAGTTTTTGAAGGACCGATACTTCCTTGTGCAAACTTTTTAACTCTGTAATGTGGTATTATTTTCTTTTTCGTATGTAACTTATACATAATGGAATGTATAAGTTTCTTTCTTTTATTTACTGAATGCATTGTCTGAATCTGTCCAGAGGTTCTTTTATCCTTTTCATTTATTATGTACAGAATTACTTGCAGTTTTACTAATATGAATTGGGTTATGGAATTAAAAAATGTTGGGACTAACTGAAGTGAGACATTGAAATTCGTGCCATTTCTAAGTTTGCAAGTCCTAAGTTAGAAGTCCAGGAAGGGATGAGTAATTGATAGGGGGTTTAGGTATTTTGTGGGCTGGTTTTTGTTTGTTTTGGGTTTTTTTGCTTCAGGGCATATGACATTTGCAAAAATTTGCCACTGTATCCTTGAAGGATCATGCTGTAATAAACAAGCAGTATTACTGGACACTTTTTTTTCCCTTCCTACACACTGTGTCTCTTGAATAATTTTGGTGTTCTATAACACAAAGGCCTTGTATCTTTGTGCATACAAAGTGGTTGAAGAGGATGAAACAACTAATTGGTTGTGAATAAAACAGAAAGAAATCAAATGGCAAACAACTAAAATGCTCCATGCTCAGTTGCATTTTTCTGCAGCAGTACTTAATAAGTAGGCAGGTTTCAAAATACAGTTTTTGTATTCATACAGAACAACCTGTTTTCAGGGTGCCGTATTTTATGATTTTGAAAATATAGGTGTACTCCCTGAAGCCAATGAAAAGACTTATACAGGCTTGCCTGACTTGCAAGAATTAATTCTAAAAACTTTTCCAAGATGTTATTCTTTGATATGAGCACACGTTTCTGATGTTTCTGGGTCATATGCTTTTAAGCTTCCTGTAGAAAACCTCTGGACTTCTGGCTGGTTCCGTCATTCTCCTACATGGAAAAAGATTCCATTTAGGTTTAGCATAAATTTTTGTGAAATCTGTGTTGTATTTTTTGTGTGGCTGGAAAGACAGTCTGGGTTTTATGTAGCCTGCCATGTTCTTATATTCATTCTTTGCATGTCCCATTATGGAGGAGGTGCATGAAATACAGTTATTTGAGACTGAAAATCTTGTGCTACAATGTATATATGTTTGGTTGTTGTTTTTACATTGGAATAGGGAGGAGTTTCAGTTTTTCCTGTGCCTGCATCTAACAATATCTTTTGATTGAAACTTTCATTTCTAGTCAAGTCTAAAGTGTTAAAAATTACTGATGACAATGTTGCAATGATTTGATTTTTTAATGTGCGAGCCTGTCCTAAACTCTGAAAATTTCAAGTATATATAACATTATGCATTTGTGTCTTTACATACAGGCAAAACCCAGTTCTTCAGTATCTGAGGATGGATAAAGACTTCCGCTACTACTTCCAGCACCCGTGGTCTCGCTTAGTTGTGGCTTACTTAGTGATCTTCTTTAACTTCTTAATATTTGCTGAGGACCCAGTATCTCACAGCCAAACTGAAGCCAATGTTATTGTTGTTGGTAATTGTTTCTCCTTTGTAACAAATAAATACCCTGAAGGAGGAGGCTGGATATTTTTGAAGGTGTTTTTGTGGCTCCTTGCCATTCTCACAGGACTGATAGCTGGGAAATTTCTCTTCCATCAGCGCTTGTTTGGTAAGTTAAAAGATGCATCTGCTGAATTTCTGGTAATGGCTTTCTGACTTTTCAGCTTAGCTTTCTACTTGTGGCAATTTAGTAAACTTTGCTTTCAATTGCTTCTGCTGTTTAGAGCTGTATAGCACTCAGTATGTCAGCTTACACCATCATGGAAACTAATGCCACAGCATAACTCTCAATGATTTCAGTCAAAAAAGGATAAAAATAGTGAAAGCTGACATGTTTTAAATACTTGGGAGGTCAGTAAATTTCAATTTTTCTGTGTTACACCTTCAGTCAAGTTTTTAGGTCTTATTATGTAATATTCTCGACAATTTGAAGAAAAGGAATTCTTCCTTGGGGCAGCAGCTCTTCATGTCTTGTCAAAAGACACTTAAGTGGAAGCAGAGGCTCTTGTAAGTATTAGCAGAGCTGTGCTGAAGAGCTCCCATGTGAAAATGAGAATTCTAGAGAGGTAGGACCTGTCTCTGTTTTAGTACAAGAGCAAATCAGTAAAATGGAAAGGCGGGAAATGGGGAAAACCTGACAGTAAATGTTTCCATACACAAGCTATGACTTAACTGAGGAATGTACTGTACATGGACTAACTGAAAGGGATGAAATAGCCCTGGAATAAATTCTGAGGCTGAGAACTTAGATGTAAATATATAGAGATACAAAAATATCCATTGTTGTCTTCACTTAAGTGTAGAGAATGTTGCATCTGAAGGCTCAAGGCTTTCTCTATGTTTTAAAGGTAACTAGACATCTTCAGTAGAAAAGATTTCTTTGTTTCTGCCAGTGGCACTATTCTTTGAAACATCTGATTGTGGGTGTGTTGCTGCTGGTCTAGATGGACAACCCCCATATTCTTATACTGGTAGCACTGCAGGATGGATGGTTACTGGAACACCTCAAAGCACATGAGCAATAGGCCATTTCCTCAGTCTGTCTCATTCTATTAAGATCAAGAGAGAGCCACTATTGTTTCAATAAATCAAATGTAAAGCTGTTGTGTTGAGGAATGAACAAGCAAAGCCATATTAGGTGACTTTTAATACAGACTTCTCTTGAAGCAGTTATTCTGAAAAATAATTCAGCATCATGAAGACTATTAGGCTGTTTTACCATAGTGTAATGGTAAATGTAAAATGTTCCCATAAAGAGGACATTTTACCTGGAACAAGGGCTACCACAATAATGTTTTCAATTCTAGCTTCCCCAGTTGAGAAATTATTTTGTTAAACTGAAGATGTTTAAGGAAAAGTGATGAAACTGATGATAAATATAGAAAATTAGCCCGATAGTGAGAGGATTGAGAGGATAAAGGGAAGATTAGAGAGTGACTTGCTCAAATTTGAAGGGCAGAACTTTTAGTTCAGCATATGTAATGCAAGGTCCAGTGCTTGGAAGTGGCAAATAGCCAGCATATTTCTTTTTTAATCTGAAAGGCTAGACAACCAGTGGAACAAGTTTTATAAGATATGTCCTCTTCAAGACATGAATTTTTCTTTTTGAGAACACATTTTTCTGACTACAGAGTCATTATCTTCTGTCTAGGTAGGTTATTATGATAATTCCTTCTGGATTTGTAAGTGAATATCATATGTAGCTAAACATAAATTTTAAAGTGCCTTAATTTAGTCTTACTGCCAAACGGGGAAAGTCTGTCAGTGTCTGCTGCTTTGTCCCTTTGTGCAGTTGCTCAGTGAAACAGGATAGGGAACTTACCCATATTAGCAGCACCCATCTTTTATTTCTGTAAGGATCACATGTCTGACCATTCTGATGTTTGTGGCAGCACTAAGATGGGGTCAGCATGAGAGGGAACTAATGGGGAAGAAATTCCTAACCCTGAAGGCAGTGCTGGTTTATGGATATTTGTGGTTGTGGTCTGGACAAGCAGCAGGGGTGTAGGTACAATCTGATTTGAGGCTAGCTGCTGCACATTGAGGTTCATAGCAATTTGAGCCAGTGTAGATCTGCCACAACCCCACCCTCCTAATTCCAGCCACATCATTTCGAGCCAGTGCTGCTGTTGATGTGACAGTGCAGCAAGCCAGCTCAGGCAGCCAAACTCATGGAAAATCAGTTGCTTCTGCTGTCATCTACAGCAGCTCCTTGAACTGATGTGATCACTTGGGTGCCAGTGCTGATGAGATGGCCAAGGACTGTGCAGCCAAGGCAGCTGGGGGCTGTGGCAGCCATACCTTGTGTTGGCTCGAGTGCTGTGGGGCTGCACCCACGCAGTGTGGCAGTGGAAATGTGCTGCTGCTCGTGATGCACCGTGAGCAGATGGCAGGCAGTGGGACTGAAGAGCTGACTGATGTGGCTGTGTAGCTGGTGTGGATAGACAGGGCTGTGATGAGAATGTGAGTTTACAGCCTCAGGTATCTCTGTGCCTCCAAGACATTTGTGCAGCCCATGCTGAAATATTTTCTGCCTGTTACTTTCTACTACTTTAATGACTTCATTGCCTAAAAATCACTCCTTTTATTGAGATCCTCATTGAATGTGACCTCTTGATCTTCTGGCATCAAGCAGTTAATGAATTCACCCCTTTATTGTTTCTAATTTCCCTAGTCTATTTCTTTAAGTAGCTGCTACTTTTGTAATTTTTCTTTATTTATTTTTTTTTTAATGTATAATTGCTTAGGACCGCTCTGGTTTTAAATCCTTGTTTGTTTATTTGTTTTGTTTTTTTCTCTGCTAAACTCTGTTTGCAGAGGAAATTGTGACTGGTTACTTCTTGTGGTCTGTGTATAACTTCCTGCAGTCAGGAAATGAACGAAATAACACCAATCTTCCCCTGTCCTTGGCTCACCATGCAGGCTGCAAATTGAAAATGAAAAGGATTAGTCTGCACATCTCACTTTAAATGAAGAGGAAAGGATTTTCTTTCTCTATGCCCTTTCTGTTTTTTTGTTCCTTGTCTTGTGTATTTCTTGCTGCTGAGTTTGCATAGGAGCTAGAAACATAGTGTAGCTAGAACTGTGTCATAATACAGTTTACCATCTGTGACAGTCACTGCCTGATAGCCATGACTGTCGTGGACTAAAAAAATAAAATAAATAAATTCAAGCATCTTATGTGTCTAAAAGTGGAAGGAGACAGGTGCTGGAAACCTGATTTAGGCTTAATCACTCTGTGTTTATAGAGAGATAAGGGAGCAAGTAAACTATATTGATGAGAAGTAGAGATCTCAGCTGGAGGACATAGTGGAATGTTTTCTGTTGATAATATTTGTTGGAACCTTTGAGCAGTGTCATCTTCAGGGAATTCTTCAAGACACTCCTCATGACTTAAAACAAGATTAGAAAACAATTACTTTTCTTGTTCATCAGTCAAGAAATAGCTTATTTTATTTGATAAACATTTCCCATCATAAATATTTCTGTGGAAAATAGCCCTTATCTAGTACATTCTTTATATATTCATTGCATGTGGTCAGAACAAGTAGAATTTTAACATTGTCTTTTGGCTGTTATCCACTGTATTATTCTGATCCATCACTAAGCATATCTTCTGTTTGGTTTGGTGTTTTGTTCTGCTGTGCTTTTAATATTGCAATGGAAACTGAAAGGTCATAGAAGAATATTGGAAGTTTGGGGAAATAAAAAATAAAGATACCTCCCCCTGGTTTGGGTTTTTTTTCTGTATGGGAGAATTACTTGAGATAAGGGAAAGTGGTAATTTCTTGATTAATTTTCTGCTTTATTTAAACCAGAGAGAGCTTATAAACTGACCCATTTGATGACACTATGAATTCAAAAAATGCATTCAAATCTTGACTTAAATTAATAAATAAGCATGTGCTTATTTTTCATATTGCTCTGGGACATTGTATGGAAGATAGCACAGTGTTTAAGGTATAGAAAGTGAGTGTTTTAATTGGCACCTGCTCAGAATGTGCACAGTTGCTCTTCTGCACTGCTTCAGACCTAAATTCTGAGTTCAGTGGGGATTTTCACAGCCCAAAGTTCAGGCTGTGCATTTTGCATCATGATAAACATGATCCTTATAAATCATTATCACTGAGCCCAGTGCAATAGCTGTTCTAATCCATGCCCCTCTACTGGAAAACCTCTGTGTTAGGGACAATACTGGAGCTATCTCTGGGTAAGAGAATAAGCTTAGGGACCAGAAAGGTATTAAACCCTCAAAAAAGCCTAGGAATTACAAATGTAAAAATAAATCTTCAATGTGAATAGACTTTTAGGAATATGCATAAATGGGCAGTGTACTTGAAAAATATCTTAATTTTTTCAGTCCAGCATTTTTGCTTTGACTGGTCCTTACATGTACTAATCCTTAGCTTATGCTGCATATTAAATACATAAGTTTTAAAAAACTTATTACAAAATGTTCATGTTTCTACTTGTCTGTTTTTCTGATTTTAAAGATGTATTAAAACCTGGTTAAAAGTCTGATTGCAGAGACTGTATTTGTATTATGTTTGTGTTTGAATCAATTGCCAGTGAGTGTTCTTAGATTTATACTTGTAAGTTCCTTTCTAAATGGTGTGGATAGAAAAACTAAATACTTAATGTGTTATGAAAACTTACAGAAAGCAAGATATATATGGCTAAATCTGTGTTTCTTAAAATGGAGGAATAATAATACGAGTAAATTAGAGCCATTGGATAATTGTTGAATTTAATGGGTTTCTCTCCTACAAATGTTCACAGTATGCAGTTTGTTTAAAATTAAATGATAATGTGAGCTTCATAGACACTGGGATAAATGAATAAAGCACTCATGATTAGGAATTGCCCTGAACTGTGGGTGCACACAAATGTTGCAGATTGTTTAATGGACAGTAGTGCCATGCTGGGAGCAATTTCATGATAGATGGTTTCAAACAAAACACCCACCCAGGGTATGCAGTCTGAAAACATTACTCTTTTTGTCAAATGTCTCATCTGGAAGGCTCTAAAGATCATGGAAATATCTTAAAAGCTGACTCTTAGGTGTCTGCTTTTATGCTCAAATTTAAGCGGTGCATAATTGAATGAAGA